ATTGTTTTATGCAAATTTTATCTTATTATTGACATTTACACTAAAATCAAATAATCAATATTTATGTCCAATCATATGATTTGAATAACCAGTGTCAAGAAGATTCAGAATTTTCATCATCATAATTTGTGGCTACCATCAACAACGCTTGATCAAAATTTGATCCTTTATTTTGAGCAAGATATATTTTACCATTAAACTTTCTCTTTCCTTCCGTCACTTTTTCATTCTTTTACAAAATACTCCTAATTTTTACAATAGTAGCACTATATTTTCTTCCTATCAAACTTTTTTCCCCCCAATTTCGTTGAATTGGAACTTTCTTTCTTTTTTTTTTTTTTTTTTGCAGACTCAGCTTGATCATGCTTCATTTGACACTAATCTTGACTATTTGATGAGTCATTGGCTTTGCCACTTTTGGAAACTTTCCACTTGTCTTTTATTTCTTGTTCTAACAACTTGCACCTTTCTTCTTATAGTTAGTTTGAGCCAACATGATTCGTTCATGAATCTTTTCATCATTCCTTCTTTCATTTAGTCTCTATTGATCATAGGCTTCAAGGGGATTCTAAAACTCATCTACCTTAATCGTCTCAAGATCTTTGAACTCCTCGATTGCCACTACAATAGATCAAAATGAGGTGTCAAAGTTCTCAGTGCCTTATCTACAATATGTTGATCTATAAATTTCTCATTACAATATTCATCAGATTAAAAGGAGTTTGAATTCGATTGAAAAAATCAGATATATAAGCTCCAAATCATTCATAGACAATAATTCATATTTTCTTAAAAGAGATTAAAATTTCATCTTCTTCACTTATTTATTAGCAACTCCATAAGCTTTATATACATAATATTAGAAGCTTCTTTTGTTAAATTGGTAATTTATAAAATTCACAGATGAATCAAGAAAAAAGTTAGTAATTAAGCTATAACTAATAATTTATATAATAATAATAATAATAATAATAATAATAATAATAATAATAATATGCTTAATTTTTAGGATTGTTAACCTACTTCGGGTTATAGACACAATTGTCTATTAACCTATTTACATGTTTTATATAAAATAAATTAAATAAATAAACATTCGTACCCACAACATTTTTGAAAAGGTATGTTAGACCTTAAAATAAAACTAATATCAAATAAAAATATTAAATTGAAATTTATTAATTTTATTGTCAGTCAAATTCAAATTTGACAGGTGTTTACTCCTAATTCTAATTTATTATTAAATCACATGTATTTAATTTTTTTAATTTATAAAAATAATTAATGACACTTATTACATGTAACGTAGAAAAACCTAAAAACTACTTGATAATTTTTCCATAATGGCATAAGAAACCCATGAGGTGGCAGTGTGGTGCACCTTCACCTGCACCATACCAACCATGTCTTAAATATTACTCAAAGCTTAAATATATAAATTAAGTGCTATAAAATTTGTTGCTCAACAAACAATGGCCTACTTTGTCAACATAGGAAGTTAAACTAATAAAGGAAACACTCCATTATTACTTATATAATTGTACACTATAATTACACAAAAAAAAAACATATAATTTTCATTTGACAATTAACTACATAGTATATAATATAGTATGATGAATCATCGAGCATAAAAAAAATACAATACATAAATGAGAATTAAGTATGATTTCAAAAAACAAAAATGAGATTTAAGTTTGTAAAATTTCATAAGTAACACTCCCAACTTGACTTTAACATCTTGAACGTGTTATAACTTTTTGTTTTGATATTCTTGTGATATATTTTATGCACAATAATTTGTCAAAGGAAATGAAATTTCATTATTAATTTATTTAATACAAAATAATTAACAACAAAATTATTAACATCTTGTAACAAGCTTTAAATTTTTAGATCTTTTTATATTTTATAATTCATACGACAGAGTGGAATATATAGAAAACACTTCCTCACCGACAAAACATAAAGAGTACAAATGCTAAATGATACGTTGACGCGTTACCATGTGACATGTTTAAGAATAAATTATAAAATATTTAAATTTCAATTTTATATATTAATTAGAAGCAATTATTAAGCTATCACATGCCAAAAGTATTACGTTAATTTTACAACTTCTTGATATTTTTAATTACCATACGATCAATGAAAAGTAATTCTATAAACTAAATAGAACACAACTAAATAATACTAGTTCAAAATTTTATGCTTTATTTTATTTATTGCCTGTGCCCTGTACCTATGTCGTTTTATCTACGCTATATTTTTTTAGCTCTAGATGTTATAAGTAATGTATATCGAATTGGGGAAAAAAGAATTGAAACTGTACAAACATTTACATTTGAGTAGCTGTTAATACATGGACAGATTTGAGAATCCAGCACTTTACAAATTAATTCCTTGCAAGTTAAGAAATTATTTATTTTATGCTGTTACCAAGTACATTTGTAGAGAAACAATTGAATTTTAAACTCCACAAAAAAAAAGGTTTTATATTTGAATTTATTATCATTATTATAATTTTTATTAATGAAATCTGATAAATTTAGCATCATTTGTTATAACTATATGCAATCCCTTTGATTCTTAATATAATTAACAAAATTTCATATCCATTAATGTCAAGTAAATTTTAGCTAATCTTAATTAATTTAATATTATCATCTTAAAAAATATCTTTTCATTTAATGGTATTGTATTTCTAATATCTCTTTTTTATTTTTTATATAAAGTTTAAAGGAATAATAATTTAAGAAAATAAAATATTTTTATATGAAATTAACATAAGATGTTATTAAAAGAAAAGAAGAAAGTAGAAAGAGAAGTAGGTGGAGAAGGATAAGATTAAGATGAGAATTGCTGTTTGGCAAACATCTACTTTTGCTTTGCTTGCTTTTCAAGTACGTCTCCTTCTTCACTTTCATGGATACCCCACCTATCTCCCACTTTGGCTTTTCTAGTGATTCTGATTCTACTATTCACCTTCCATTTAGATTTATATTTTAAATTAAATTTATCGAGATAATATATGAGTACTCTAATTTGTATTTAGCAATTGCAATTAGCTTAATGTATGAGTGCGAAAATAAATTCTTATATTCAGAATGGAAAACATTATATTGGTTGCATCTTGACAACTCTTTTTTAGTTCGTTCCTGGAGTATCTACTGCCGATAGTAGTGACTAATCTCCTCGCTACGTTGGAGACACCTCAAAGGGTAAGATAGCGGCCCAAGATTTAACTCTGAATACATATTTTAACTTAAATTCATTGAAATAGATTATCAGTAATCCTATTTGTGTTTAATGGTTGCGATTGGCCAAATGCACTAATGGAAATCATTGATTGAATATCAGCATTGCACATTTCGATTAGAGTAATTAGTTTTTCTTTTCTTTTCAAAAAATTAGATTAGGACAAGAGTGCAAGTCACAATTTTATATAATAAGACTTATCAATTTTTTGTGGGTACACTTGATGTTCCAAGATGGGGGTGGTATCTGCAAAAGAGACTCCGATGCTAAAGTTAGTGTTTGTGGGAGTATTAGTCTCGTATAAGTAATGCACGTACCTTGTTGTGAATTAGGGTTGCATTGGACCTTGGGCCTGAGATTAGTTGTGATCTGATTAGGTAGGGGATCTCGTCTAGACCGAGATTTTCTAAGATCGGTTATGATCTATTTAAGTGCTGATCTGACGTCATGCGACGCGTGCCCGAGATCGTCTTATGTTGTGATGCCGAGTTGGGAGCTCGGCTCTGGAGTGTGGATAGTACAATTAGTTTTTCTTTTCTTTTCAAAAAATTAGATTAAGACAAGAGTGCAAGATACAATTTTATGTAATAAGACTTATCAATTTTTTTTTCTTAAAATTTTCATATTATAAATTTCCCATTTCATCTTCAATGGAAGTTTATGTGGAAAAATATAAAATATAAAAGAAGTTAAATTGAATCTTTAAGTTTTATCTAATAAGAATAAAAATACTTAATCAATTACATTACTCTCATACGATAGTTGTTTTATTTTGAAAGTGGTATATATTATCATATTAATTTTTAAAATATACTAAATATTAAATAAATTCTTAAAAATACAAATATGATGGTCAAAATGCATTTTTAGAGATTTACTCCATTTGTTTTATAATATTAGTTGTGTTTGAAAAAAATAAAATAAAAAATATATTATATTATTTCAAAGTATTAGTTACCTTTTTTCTTTATTTATATCTTAAGATTTTCTCTGTGTCATAATAAATGTCATATCAATTTATTTTACATATACAAAAAAAAACTAATGAATTCATGAAAAAGAATAATAAAAATTTTACAAAATTAATTTCATAATCAATATTTTTAAAAAAAAATAATGCAACACTATTATATAAATTTGATTTAAATATATTTTTAATCTTTATAATTTCAAAAAATCTTATTTTAGTCCTTATATTCAAATTTTATTAAGAAATTTATCAAATATTATTGCATAAAATTTACCTATTAGTATTTCTATTAGTAAAAATATCACATTAAATTTGATTAATATTGCATAACTGTCTTAATTAGTCACTTTCAAATATGTTATTGGTGACCTAAGAGACTAAAAACAACGATTTTAAATTTAAAGGACCAAAATTAAATTTATCTTAAATTTGAGAGATTAAAAACATATTTAAGCCTATAAATTTTTATAATAATTATCATTTTTCATGAACAAAACTATAAGTTTTATGTATATAACTAAGCAGACTTGAATCACAAATTTTGAACCAATCTTTATGCAATAATATATAATAAAATATAAAAAAGTTAAATATATAAGATGTAATAATAGTTAAGAATTATATATATGTAATATATTTATTTATTTATTTAAGTGGCGTGATGAGGAGAAGTTTGGAATTGGGATCCGGATGGAAGGAAGATGGAGAATGGGTGAAGAGAAGAGATGATGATTGGTAGAAGATTAATGGAAGGGTGAGAAAAGCAATAGGAATGGGTTCATTGAGCAAGTCAAATCCAAATCCAAATCCATGGACCCCAAAAGATTGTTCCTCAGGAATCTGCAGCATCTACTGTCCGGAGTGGTGCTACGTAGTGTACCCTCCACCCCCTCCCTCTCTCTTCCTCACCCAAACGCAACGCCACTCTTCGCCCTTCCAATTCTCCCCTCTCGTCGTCGCCCTCATCGGAATCCTCGCCACCGCCCTCATCCTCCTCACCTACTACACCCTCGTCTCAAGGCTCTGCCGCCACACCGCAGCCCCCAGGGAGCCCCCGCAGGGGAACACACCCCAAGGGTTGGACCACTCTCTGATCGAGTCCATCACCGTTCGCAAGTACTCCAAGGGCGGTGGGGCCCACGCTCGCGACTGCTCCGTCTGCCTGAGCGACTTCCAGGAGGAGGAGAGGGTGCGAGTGTTGCCGCGCTGCAACCACGCTTTCCACCTCCCCTGCATTGACACCTGGCTCCACTCCAACGCCACCTGTCCCTTGTGCCGTTCCTCTGTCATTCTCGTCTCCACACGTGCGCCTTCTGCTTCTGCTTCTGCTTGTTGACACTTGAGACCACACAACACAATGGATCTCTTTCTCTTTCTGCGCCTATGGTATGTTCCCATATTCTTCTCTCAAACGTTTCTGTAACATAATATCATTCTTAACACTAATTTTAACACTTGTAACTACATCTCTCCCTATCCTCAATTCTCATGCAATGCTTTCTGGATAATTTACTTCAATGTTGATTCTCCCTCACTAAAAACTTTAGTCAAAATATTTTTTTATTCATTATATTTTTATTTTTAGATTCTTTATTTTTTTTTTAATTCTTCTCATTTATATTTTTTTTACGTGAGAAATAATTTTTTTGTGTTGGATATGAATTTATTTTGATGAAATTATTATATATTAAGTCTTTTTTATTTTATACTTTCACTCATAAAATTTATTGTTAAAATATTTTTTTTTTTCCTTTCATCATATAATAAAAATAAATAATATTACAAGAGAAAAAGATGATGCTAGAGATTAAAATCATTTAAAGTTATAAACATAAAAATTAAGAATGATTAAAGAAATAAATATAAAAAATAAAAATATTTATTTTAAATTATATAGATTAAATAAATAAATTAAAAAATATTTTAATTAAAATTTTATATTTTATTAACATATTAGACGTGCATGTTAGAATGACTTTTAATATAATTATTATAAATAATAAAAATATTATATATGATGGTGTATGATTAGATATTGTACTACTGTATAGTTTTTTTTTTCTTAATTAAAATTATCGATACCAGTTGCGGTATACAGAGTTTAACATCTTATAAACACGTAATTTCTCTACACCAAAATTTTCTTATATTATACATTAAAATACATAATTTAGGAAGGTAGAATTTTGTTTTCCCTATTCTCTTGATTAAACATTCTTCATATTTTATATTTTCTCTTATTAAAGATTGCATTTCCCGTGTTACTCTTGCAACTAGTTAAAGAAGGAAAAAACAAATTCCCTTTCGATCATTTTAAGTTATTTATATTTATATTTTCTTAATTACCTATCTTTTTAATTCATCATGTTTCATCTCTATCTATAAGTTGAATATAAATGAACACAGCCTTGGTATCATAGTTTTGATGAAAGCCAACAATTAATAAATATTAAAGTTTGCCTCAACTCTTTAATCTCCACCTTTGATATATATAGTTTCCAACTCCAACCCTTTTTACAACAAATTTTAAGATCTGAACACTGAATTTGACTAACTCAAGTTCGTTTCAGCAAACTTAAAATATTTGAATATTAATATAAGTCTTTCACTTAAGCTTTTTAAATTATTTCTAACTTTATTCTAACTTATAGTAATTCAATGAAGCAACTCAACTGATTGAGTAAAGTGTGTAGTTATTATAAATTTCTTTAATACCAAATTCAATTTTCACATATAAAAAACCTTATACTTTCAAAAAAAAAAAAATATATATATATATATATATTAAAAACATTGCTTCTATTTTAAATAACCGATTATCCCATATTCATAATATATTATTTTGATCTAATTTTGTTTTAACGAATTTTAGAAAAATATTTGATTATTTGGGGGTGTATAAACGAATATAAATGTTTTAAATAGGCATAATTTCCATCGTGGGTTGACACAAATGATTTAAGATCCAATCAAAACTTGCATTTTTTATGAAGCGTGTTTGACACCCTTACGACTATTAAAATTACTTTAGTGGACACACCTACTCAAGGAGCTCTCATGACGTTAGAGGTGAAATTCCTTTGGTGCACTTCTATTGACTCCCAATTCGGCAAGTAAAGTCTTTTGTCAAACTAAATATTACTAAGCTTCAACTAACCATTTAGTGAACAATAGTGTTTGGCCTAAGGATCTCTAGTATATCATTAACTCTTTGCCTGATAGTCATGAAAATATTATCCCTTATCTACCATTTTCAATAATAAAAATAGTCATAATTAATTATCCTAAGGATATAATCAATTATAAATGTCACTTTTCACTCTGGGTGATTGTTTTTAAGCCTAGTAATTAGTTATTTCATGTCATAGTAGACTATTTATGACTTAACTTTAAGTATGTACAATCTTGAACTTAACACCATATCGAATTAATCATATTTACCACCTTGTCAAGAGCTTCTCAATCTTATGACAAATACCATACTTAACATCGTCTAGAGATAAATCCAAGCCCTCCATGACATTATCATGTCTCACCACGGACAAAATATGCACATTTCTCTTAGAACAAGATGATTGTTAAATTGGATCATAGATAAGAAGCTTTTTGATATACAAGATTCTTATAAGAAGCAAGTGTAAAACATACTTGCATTTATGTAGGAAACTAATAATGTGAACAATATATTTTAGGTTTCTAGAGAGAATGAGAAGATTAAAAGAAACTCATTTTGAAGGAAAAGTTTATTTCACTTAAAACCTACCGAATACTGAATATAATTCTTCATTTATAGAGGGAGACTCACTATAGACAAAACTTATTACAAACACGTCTCTAGGATGATATCTAATCTAACCTTATCCACATTAGTACACACATAATAATGACACCTCATCTAAAATAGTAGTTTTAGGTACAATAATTAAGATTTATGCATACTCTGGACACATAATAATTTTACATGGTGTCTGATGTGATAATGATACTTTATCATCTAATATAGTAGTTTTAGGTACTATAATTAAGATTCTTGTATGCTTTGGATACATGATTGGCTTGGTTGACCACTTAATTTGATCTGGCTGAAAAGGAAGAGGTGTACTGTCTTACTACTAACTAAGCCAAACTCCTATACATGTGATGATGATAAAGATACCTAGACTTAAGCATCATTTCTTCCATCAATTCAACATTTTAATCACTGCCAAGTTTTAAACCTTTTGGATTTCTTCATCTAGATTTCCGATGTAGACTTGAAAAATCTTGTCTTTTGTGGAGAGTTGGAAGGGATTATCCTGTTGTTGGGATAACAATTATTTGGTCTTTGGGACGAACTTGCCTGATTGGGATTTGATGGATTAGATTGCTAGTTTTTGACTTCACTTAGATGTTTAGCAAGTTAAAGTTTATAACTTTGATCTAGAGGATAATTTTCAAAGTTTTCACAAAAATAAGCTTCATTTTTTAACCATGATGGTTTGGTTGGGTTTTGAAAATAAGGACAATGAACTATAGTAATTGAAGTCAAGTTTTCAACATGATTGCCTTTTGAAAAGAGATCAGAAAAACTTCAGGGAAAAAAGATGTTAGTCATTGATTATAAGCCTCTTAATCATTTTCTAAAATATGACAAGTTCAGTATTCCTAAGGCTTTATCTTTGTCTATCCTCCTCAAAGAAGCAAATATTTTGTCAAAGTTTGATATCAAGCACAGTTTTTGGAAATTAGGCATTGATCCAAATGATAGACATAAAATTGCATTTTGGATTCTCAATACATATCTTTCGACTTCAAGGTAGCCCTTTCATTATTTGAATAGGCAATGACTTGAATCTTTGAGCCTATCCTAGATAATACCTTCATATACATAGATGATATTATATTATTTTCCGAGTTTATGGATTCACATAAGTGCCTTTAGAATTGATTCTTTGACATAGAAAATCAATATGCTCTTATGTTTTATGAGAATATCCTAGATAATACCTTCACATACATGATGATATTCTATTATTTTCCAAGAATATAGATTCACATAAGTGCCTTTAGAATTGATTCTTTGACATAGAAAATCAATATGCTCTTATGTTTTCTGAGAAACAAGTTCATCCAACACAATCAGAAATTGATTTTCTCAAAATCTATTTTTCCCAATGAACTTATCTATTATAAAAGATGGCTAATTCAAGAGGAAGGTGAATTAGATTTTAAAATTTCTTTTTAATTTTCTTGGATATCAACTTTTCTAAAGATTTTCCATTGAACTAATTGATTTCAACCAAAGTGAAATGGATTGTTAAAAACACTTATTAATGCAAGTCAGATTTTAACTACCCTACATGCAATATTCAATATACAAGAGACATATTAACAAATATATAATTAGATTAAAAAGAAAGTAAGTTCAAGTTAAAGGGTAAGAGATGTTTGCACAACAATCTATATTGGTTCAGCCACTTTCACTAATGACTTACATCTAGTTTCCAATCAATCTGATTGAGTATTTCTACTATTCTTTAATTTCAAAAGTTTTACAATCACATAACCACATGTAAATCACTTCAGCAAATTAAAGAAACCACTTTTTGAACCCCAAGAAGCACCCTTGTAGCACCCCACTACAAGATACCCATCTTTCTTGAGAAACCTACTCAAGTAACCAAAAAGATTAAGAAAAGATATAACCTAAAGTACAAAATAATATAAACATGTGTATCAAGACTAAACCACTTAGCCACAATCCTTCAAGTAGATGATGATGACAATTCACTCTCTTGATTCATGCTAGAGGTTCCCATAAAGGATTCCAAACCTCTCTTCAAGAAAACACTTTTCTTAGAGCTCTCAAAGATCAATTTCATAAAGTTTTTGTTCATTTTCAGTTCCTAGAATCAAAAGTGTTATATAGAGTTTTCTGACAGAAATAATTGATTATTGTTAAGAATAATTGATTATTTTGTTCTTCATAAATTTGAAAATGCACCAAGAACAATTTAATCAATTATTTCTTAAGATAATCAATTATTTCAGAGGTTCATTTATGAAATAATCGATTATTTAGCTAGATAATTGATTATTATAACAAGATTTTCCAGGTTACTAAAAAACATAGCAAATAATCAATTGATACTAGAGATAATCGATTATTTTGAGTAAAAATTTAATACTTCAAATTTTCATACCAGATCCTTTCTAAACTAGTTTTAAACCTCACATATATCATCAATCATCACTCTAAATGAAGAATCATAAACTAAGAATGATTTAACATGTAGTTAATGCACTAAGCAAAACATGCACAAAATAAAAATGCAACAAATTACAACTTGTACTATT